CAAGAGAGGAAATACAGCTGCAACCTAGTTATCAAATCCCTACAATTCTCAAAGATTGAGAGTGAAATGCATACTCACAGCCGCAGAAATCTGAGGCTATCTCTGGCTTTTGCTTCCTGTCTCTGGCCCTGGCCTTCCCACCAGCCTATTCTCAGGACCCTGCCCTGCCATCACCCTACCTTTATGCCCTGAGACCATGATGCCCACCTGATTTCTGACTGCTAACTACTGTTAAGTGTGGGGTATAGCCCTTCAGATTCTTTATTTTTTTAATGTTTATTTATTTATTTTGAGAGAAAAAGAGAGCATGAGGGAGGGAGGGGCAGAGAGAAAGGGAGAGAGAATCCCAAACAGGCTCCAAACTGCAGGGCCCCATGTGGGGCTTGAATTCACTAACCATGAGATCATGATCTGTGCTGAAATCAAGAGCTGGACGCTTAACTGACTGAACCACCCACGCGCCCCTGGTTTAATATTTTTCTAACTGACATTAATTACTTTCATAGATTTACCTGTCTTTAGACTTAGCTTCTAGTAGCTTTTTTGGTTTGGCTTGGCGGAATTTTGGAAGCCAAACAGAGGTTTTAAATTTTTTGGAGTCAATAGTATTTATCTTTTTCTTTCTAGCTTTTGGATTACATGACATATTTAGAAAAAATTTTTTTTTGCTGTGCTAAGTTTACAAATACAATGCTTTCTTCCAGTACTTTGTTATGTGTTTAAGTTAAATTTGGTCTGTTTGGAATTTATTTGGGTGATCAAAATAAGCTTCATTACTGTTTTTTTTTTTTTAATTACAATAAAGCTGCCTGACATCAAACCATCTTCTTAATGCTGATTTGAAATATCCCTTGACTACATAATAAATCTCTAGAAGTATTTGTATTTGGATCTATTCTGAATTCCATTATTTTCTATCTGCATGTAAGTTCCTGCTCATTTCTATACTATTTTAATTATTATAACTTTATAATGTTATAATATCTGGTGGTGCTGGAGAACTAATCCTCACTAACTTTTTAGAATTTTCCTGGCTAGTCTCATATTTTTTCTTCCAATTGAACTTTAAAATCATTTTGTAAGCTCAACAAAAACAAACCTCATGATTACAGCACCACTATCTTTCCATGTTCCAACCATCCTTGTACACTATTGTTTTCCCAATGTGTACATACAATACCCTATCCAGCCTTTCTCAGTTAACTAAAAGTCTCCATGGTTAGGATAGTGGCTGCATGATCTAGTGCATGATTATGCCCTAATGAACTCCACCACTGCTTTCATGAACATCTTTTCAATTATTTCGCCTTCACAAACCCTATTGGAATTTATACACGTCTGTCTTTGCCGTTATTTTTGCTGTAGGACAAATTCCCAACAATTTCCTAGGATTCCTAGGAAAACGGGGTGAGACAATGCTCTCTGATACTCAGCAAGAGAACTAAACAGCACAGCCACAGGCAACGGAGATTCGAATGCAGTCCGAAGTTCGGAATCCGGGCCTGTATCTGCGGCCTCAGTTTACTTTATCTCATAAGACCTCGATTTTCCACAAGACTGGTCCAGAGGCCCCAGGAACAGGCCGGCGAGGCCCCCGCCAGCTCCCAGGACGCTACAACGGCCATGCCGGCCCATCACAGTCGGAGCCCTTCTTACCTGAGGCCCAGTGACCACCATCTTCACCTGACACCGCCCAGCATCCTGCGGCCAGGTATCCAAGGCCGCTTAGCAACGGCGTAGGCGAGGCAGCGCGCTGGGGAGGCGTGCACTGCGGCGTGGACCTACCTCCGCAGCAACGTGATGACGACAGAACGGAAGACGCCATTTCGCCTTGAGCGTCACGGGGCTGGAGGTCAGGGGGCGGAGCTAATATGGGACTGTACCATTACATTGGTTGAGGGGTAAACCCAAACAGAACGTGAATTAACTTTAGGCCAAAAATAAACCCATCTCGTTTCGTACTTTAATATCAAGTATTATTGGAGACTGATATAAGTAGTAGGACCCTGGGGCCCAAACTTCGCTCCACCCTGAGGGAGGAAAGTGAAGGCTTCCGGCGGTGGCGGGTGGGAAATGCCCCATCCTCAACTCCCAAGAGCGCAGGCGCACAGCTCCGGGGCGAATCCGGGCGGAGAGTGGAGGACGAAGTCTAGCTGTCGGAAACGCCAGATGAGAGGTTCTTATGCGTGCTGTGGAAGGGTTTCGGCGACTTGGCACCTCGGGAAGCCTTCCCCGCGAGAGATGGACAAGTTTAGTGGTGCGAATGGTCACTCGAGATAGTTCTTCCTCTTTAGTTAGCCCCGCATCTCTGAGCGCCAAAGTGCTAGGCCCAGGATATGACGGTGAACTCGCCCTCTAGGCCTTCCCAGACGGGGAGTTGGACCTTGGCCAGATCCGACCAAACAGTGAAAATATAAACTGCACTAAGGGAGCTGTGAGGGACCAGAGCTGATCTGAAAGGCGGTCCGGATGAGCGGAGTAATATTGATAAGGCATGGGCTGGAGAAGGAACTGCTACACCAAAGAGCCATCGCCATCAAAATGAAAAACCAGGCACTAGTAACCACCAACAGGCCACAGTTTGTTCCAGGGGAGCCCTTGCCTACCCTGAGAGTGTGTGGACTGTGTGCAGTGCCGCCGCCTCACCGGCGCAAACGAGCAGAGACACACCACGGTTTTGGTTCACATTTACGTTTGTTACAATCTTCAGTTAAGTACAGAGCAGTAGGAGTCTTAGGAGCTTGAAACACACAACTCTTGTTGCCTTTACACAACTACTGCCACTGCAAAGTTAAAAAGTGAAGAGGATGGTTGAGAATTCTCTTCGTGGAGATGCTGTATTTTGGTGTGAAATTAATACAAATGGAAGTGAGGGGAGCCTGGGTGGCTCAGTTGGTTAAGCATCTGACTCTTGATTTTGGCTCAGATCATTATCTCATGCATGGTTCCTAAGTTCAAGCCCCACGTGGAGCTCTGTGCTGGCAGCCTGGAGCCTGCTTGGGATTCTCTCTCACCCTATCTCTCTGCCCCTCCCCTGCTTGTGCGTGCATGCTCTCTCTCAAATAAGTACACATTAAAAAAAAGAAGTGATATATTCTACTAGAAAGGGTACATAGGGTGTGCCACTCGACAGTTTGGACAGGTCTGGAGTTCTTCTGCCTGATGTGCAGTCAGTGTTTCCTATAAAACCAAAGGAGTACCTGCTCAGAGCATTTCTCCCACTGATGGAGGCTGTAGAAGAGCGTGGGTTTTAAAAGCAGCAGCCACCAAGTTCAGTTCCTGGCTGTGCCTTGTACCAGCTGGGTGACCTTGGGCAAGTTGCTTAATCTCTCAGAGTGAATATTTATCTGAAAAGTGAGGTTAATAATTTCTAAATGCTGGTTTCTTGTGAGGATTGTAGATAATGCATGTAAAGATCAGAATGTGCTCAAAAAACATAGGAAAAGCATGATCAATATCATAGTTTGTCTACATTTTTATTTTCTGTCTTGGTGAAAATTTTGTGATTTTACAGTCTTAGAACACATGGAACCATTATGTGTTTCACAACCCATAGTGGGTTGTATACTTGTGACAGTACTATCATGTTTCCAACAATTACACTCTGTTGCTTTTTGCTTTGGGAAGTTGGGGAAATTTTGGCCACTCCCACCACATCTTGTTCCACACACTTCTCAAATAACAGACACTGCTATGATGGAAATCAAATCAGAGTGTTTCAAAGTTCTCAGCACATGCCAAAGGGTAATGGTAACTCTTCCTGACCCAGCTTAGATCTCCAGTAGGTCTGTGTTAGTGTCGTAGGTGTGTTTTCCATGATCTTCCAGCTTCATCCCCCATTATTCCTGGGGCAGGGAGCTGGGCAAACACAAATGGAAGAGCAAGAGTGAGAGTAACAGGAAAAGACAATAAAACTGCCAGCACACACTGATGTCAAAGTTGTCTCCTTGTCCACAAGCCAAAAACCTAGTAGGCCTACCCTGAAACAGCCGATGAAACACAGGTTTGGGAGCGGGGGCAGGGAAGACTACTTTGCCACTGAAGTAAGGCAGCATGATCCATCCTACTCACTTTTGTGAGTACTGTTGCCGTAGCTACCACATAAAAGCTTCTAGTCCCTCCCTTGAGTCAAACTCTGGCACAGGTGCATCCCTGGGCCACATGCCTGGCCCCAGCAGCAGAGGAGGCTGGGACAGTCAGTATCTAGCATTTTCAGCTACTGTAAGTAGAGGTAATTATTGCCCCCCCCCCCACAAAGGCTTATTAGCTAGGACATTCCCTGAATATAGGAAAGGGTTCAGATGCCAGGCAGACAAACCTAATAATAAATATCCAATACCATCCACAACAAAGAAAGATACCATCAAAAGAGAAAAATAAGAGCATGTTGGGTGATCGCCTATAGGCTTACTACATTTCTGTCACTTTACACATTGAGTTAAAGATCCAAACACCAAGAGGTCCTTTGGTAGAGAGATCCTGGTTGCCTACTGAACATTTCTCCCTTCTCCTGTAGTATCAGAGCCCTATGTTCTTAGGGGTAGTAATGTACCCAGCTAATAAACCACATATCCCAGCCTCCATTACAAGTAGGAGTGGGTGACTAATGAGCCGAAGCCATTGGTTGGGGCTTCTGGGGAAGCTCCCTAAAGGTGCTGTTTTGCTCTTCACTCCTTGCCTCCTTTTTCCCTGCCCAGGACACAGAAGCAGTGGCTAGAGCTCCAGTAACCACTTTGTATCAATGCAGCAATCCTGATACTGGAAGCCAATTGCCAAGGATGGCAGAGAAGAGATACAGAAAGCCTCTTAGTATCTGATGACCTGTGGAACCAACAGCCTTGGACTACCTAACAACATTCCTCATTCATATGCTGGAAACATATATGTAACCTTATTTAAGCCATTGTTACTTTGAGTCTCTGTTACTAGCAGCTGAAGGTAAGGAAGGCAAGTCCTTAGGGATACCAGCTGTCTTCAGTGGTTACACGAGTGCTTCTCTTCTAGTAGTCCAAGATGGCATCATCCTCTGGTGCATAGGAAAATCCCAGGAATGCACTTGAGGCCCCAGAGCTGCTGGCCACAGTGTCGGGAGTGCAGCCAATGGACTTTGACACAACTTCCTGGGTGAACTCTGGGTCAAAGTGTTTCAAGTCAGCAGGTCCTGCCTGTGAATATAAACCAATGGTGAGATGGGAACACTAGGGTCAGAGCCGCCAAAGGAACCCACGAGCCCTGAGAGCGATGTTAGGCCTCCCCTCTGAATGCCTTGCGGACACCTATCTTTAGCTATCACTTACCCATGTGTTTACATTAATTATTTTATTCCACATGGTCCACTAACCACATATCAATTCCTCTAACCTCCTGGCACCCTGCCTGCTTCACATCAACCCTCAGACAAGTCTAGTCAACATACACTTACTGACTGTCTATCAGCCACTATTCATGGCACTGGGGACACAGAGGAACAAAATAGAGTGGGCCCCGGCTCTCATGGAGCCTATATGATGCAGAGGGTAGGAGGATTGATAATAAGCATGTACACAAATAGACAAATAGACAACCTGGGTTGTTGACAGGCCTTATGAAGAAGATAGAATAGGGTAATATGGTAGAGAGTGACTGGCTGCTTTCACCGTTTTGGAGGAAGACCTGTGTATGAGATTGTAGAAATGGTCACAAATCCTGCATTTGCCATCCAGAGGTAGAGTCCATCTCTCCATACTTATAATATGGGTTAGCCATGTAACTTGTTTGGGGCAATCTGTTACCAGATGTGGTTCAAGCAATGGTTTGAAAGATGCACATTGGGAGTTGTTCTCTCTTGCAGCACTTGGAACCCTGGGCCACCTCCTGAACAAGCCCAGACCAGGCTGCTGGACTACGAGAGGCCTTAGAAGGAGAACCCAATCTCCCCAGCTGCTGGCCAACTCCCAGGCATTTGAGTGAGGCACCTCTAAACCACTGACATGAGAGAGCGCAGCAGAGACTAGCTGGCCTGGCCCAGGCCAAAAAAACTCACCCAACCAACCCAGCGAATTGGGGCAAAATACAAAATTGTTGTTTTAAGTCACGTAGTTTGGGGGTGACTTGTTATGCAGCATGAGCTAACCAAATTAGTCTCTTTCTGAAGAAGGCACAGTCTGTGGAGAATGCTAGGCCACCTGGGTTTTCCGAAGTAAGCAGGTGAACAGGTGGAAGGGTGTACGTATGTGCTTGAGTGTGCAAGCCTTAGGTTGCAGAACCAAATAGACCATGATTTCCAGCTTCTTTAAAAGGCGACCAGGCACAGCGGTCTCAGTTCAGGGCTGAGAGTTCCAAGACCAGAGTGTAGATCCTGGCCCTGGCTCTTGTTAGCTGTGTGGTCCTAGACAAGACAGACATTATCTGGTTTCTACAAATGATATCGATGCTAAAGATACTTATCCAAGTCCTCACAGAGGTGGGTAGGTGGCAGAACCAGGAATCCACACCCAGCGTGTCTTACTTTAAAGTCTATTCACTGCATTCTGTTACCTCCCTGTCTAGTATTTTTTATACTGGTCTCTCTCCAGGGTGTATTTTCAATATTATCCTCTGGGTCTTTTTTACATTCCCAGATAAAGAAATTTTTCAGGTACCTGGACTGAGCGTAACCTATCTGACAACCACTGTCAAGAATCTGGAGCTCAAAGATACGTTCGTGAGTGGGTAATTGACAAAAGGCCAGGTGTAAATAGCGAGTTCACACTGCAGTGTTGACATGCAAACTACATGGATGGAAAGGGCTTGACCCTATTGGACACCGCAGGTGGCTGAGAGACCCTCCAATGTCCGCTTCGAATGAGGCTGCTTTCATGCATACTACCACTGCTAATTAACATTCAAACACTAACTGCATTCACTATAAATCAAAGAAATATAAGTTAAAACAATATGAGATACCATTTTTTACTTAACAAATTTGCGAAGTTAAAAACAATGAACTGCACATGTTGCAGAGACAGACAAGAATTCTCCAGCAGACGCTGCTGGCAGGAAGCTGATTCTCCTCCCCACCACACAGTTAAAGCAGTAGGAATCAAGAGCCTAAACAGTTATGAATCAAGAACCAAAGGGCTCCTGGCTGGCTCAGTCTGTGGAGTGTTGACTCTTGATCTTGGGGTTGTAAGTTCAAGCCCCATGTTGGATGTAGAGATTACTTTAAAAAAAAAAAAAAAAAAAAAAAAAAAAAAGGAGCCTAAAAGTGTTCACATACTTTGACCTGGCAATTCCCCATCTGGAATCCATCTTAAGGGAATAATCAGAACTCTGAGCAAAGATACATGCTTAAAGAGGCACCTGCATGGCTCAGTGAGTTAAGCATCTGACTTCGGCTCAGGTCATGATCTCATGGTTCGTGGGTTCGAGCCCTGCATCGGGCTCTGTGCTGACAGCTCAGAGCCTGGAGCCTGTTTTGGATTCTGCCCCAATGCAATGTTTTGGATTCTCCCTCTCTCTCTGCCCCTCCCCCACTCGTGCTCTGTCTCTCTCTCTCTCTCTCAAAAATAAATATTAAAAAAATTTTTTTAAAGACACACACTTAAAGGTATTCATCAGTACATTATGATAAAGAAAGAATGGTAGTAACATAAAGCTCACCATTAGGAGCATGGTTGAATAGATTATGTTACTTACCAACATAGGGTTTAAATATTATGTAGCCATTTAAAATGATACTTACAAAAGTTTTACATGATTTGGGGAAATAATGACATAGTTTTTAGCAGAAAAGAAAAAGTAAGGGGAGAAGATACCTCTATGTATAAAGTAGGACCTGTGTAAGAAACACAGAAAAAGATCGTAGGGAACACGTCAGCAGTAGTTTCTCTCGGGCAGTGAGATAATAAGCTTTTCCTCCCTGTTGCCTTAAACTCTGTTTTATATATTTGCTACAATAAATACATGTTGTTTTTATTATCAGGAGAAAAAAGTTTAAAGACAGAAAAAGACATTTTTATAGGGCTTGGTTCTGTCTGGGTGTGACAGACCACTTTCTTTCTTTCTTTCTTTTTGAGGTTTAAAAAATGTTTTATTTATTTATTTTGAGAGTGGGGGAGGGGCGGGGGAGAGGGAGAAATCCAAGCAGGCTCCACGCTGTCAGCGCGGAGCCCAACACAGGGCTCAATCTCACGACGGTGAGATCATGACCTGAGCTATCAAGAGTCAGATGCTTAATGGACTGAGCCACCCAGGCGCCCTGAGATTTTATTTTTAAGTAATCTCTACACCCAGCATGGGGCTTGAACCTACAACCCTGAGATCAAGAGTCACACTCTCTTCTACTGAGCCAGTCAGGTGCCCCCAGAGAGTGCTTTAAACAGCAATGAGGGTTATTGGTGTTGAAAATGAAGGAAGGGCTGCGTGGCTCATCGCACAGAGCTGGGCTGGAAGTCGGGACTTCTGAGTTTTGGAACCAGTTCTGCCTCTAATTCACCATGTGGTCTCAGACATATCATTGAGCCTCTCGGGCCCTTGGTTTTACCACCTGTAGAAAGAGGGTTGGTCCAGATACGCTCCAAGCTCCCATTAGCCCTGGGAATCCAGAATCTGGAACAGGGTGACCTCTTACCACATTTGGGTTGAAGGGTGGAGTCAGCCTCTTGTGGTACAGGTCATCCCAGTTTATGGGGCTGAAGAATACATGGTTCTTTATCTCAAGCTGCAGGAAGAAGGTGCTGATCAGTGTTGCCCATAGCACCCCTCTCCACCACCCACCCCCATGTCCCAGATCTCCAACTCTGCTGGCAGCTGGCTGTCAAGCCATAAAACCTTTATTGGGAAAGTAACCTGCACTTCAGGCTGGTTTCCTGGGACAGAGGGGTGTTTTGTAGCCAGACCTCTTCTCTCATCTAGAACCCAAACCCTTCTCCCCCAGAGCATTTGTTTATTCGCAATTATTTACTGAACACCTACTCTGTGCCAGCCAGCACCATGGTATGCTTTGGAGGTATGTCCATGAGTAAGATAGCAGGACCTGCCCTTGGGGTTCCCAGGGGCTCTTGCAACCCCACCCACCTGCCTCAGTGCATCTTGATTCTTCTAGAATACAAACCAAAGGAAAAGATTACATCAAGTCAGTAAGGAAGGTAAAGGAAGTAAAGCCCCAAGAAAAGCTACAGTTTCCTGGAGACCCAGAATTTAAGACTCAGCCTTGGGCATGAATCACTATTTCTTTCCTAGTCTAAGCCAATGTCAGCATCAAGTGCCTCCTATCCCAGCAGGACCCTCTCTCGATCTGTGTTTTGCAAGGAATGATTCTCCAGCTCCCTACATCACACCCTCCCCACCCTGTGGACTTGTTAAAAAGCCAGATCCATGATATACTGAGTACCCAAGAAACAGATAACACTGGTTGCCTTTAAACTAAGGAACTGAGTCACTAGAGGAACTTTTTCTGAATATCCTTTGAATTATGATCTATGTGAATATACACCTTATTTGAAAAATCATACATATTTTTTAAGATGCAAATTTCCACCTGGAAGAAGGGGAACAGGAACAGTGTTCATCAAAGTCTCCCTGGCTTTAAGGATGGCTGGCCAGGGATGGGTAGACAAATGCCCTAAAGATTGTTACGCTTCACAGCATCTGGCATGTGGGGTACAAATGCTTAAAAAGCACTTACTATGTGCCAGGCACTGGCCTAAGTGCTTTGTATATATTAATTCACGTGATCTTTGTAGAAGGTATGAGCTAGTTGCCATTATTGCCAGTGGGGAAACTGAGGCTTAAAAAGAGAAGTTTGCCCAAGGCTCTACAACCAGTAAGGACTAGTAAGGTGGAGGAGGGATCTGAACCCAGGCAGTCTGTCTCATAGTCTGTGCATCGCAACCACTCTGCCAGAAAAAGAAAGCAAACTTCCAGGGAGAAATGCACTGTGGTCTTCCTCTTATAAATTCAAACGGTCTTTGGTTGACTGGAGAATGTAAGATTATTTTTTAAGTGCTACTTTAATGAAAAAAAAATCATGAACTCATTGCAGGAATGGACAAACTATTCATCTCTATATCCTGAGTGCCCAGCCTGGCACTGGCACAAAACAAGTCCAGTCCTCTCTCTGCACAGAAGCCAGAGGAATTTCTTAAAACTGAAATTGGGGCTTACCACACCCCTATTCAAAATCCCCTAAAGTGTACTATGCTTCTTGTTTCTGCCACAGGACCTTTGCACATGCTGTGCCCTGTGTCTGGGATGCCTCCTCTCAGCTCTCTGCATGAGTGGTTCCTCTCATCCTTCAAGTCTCAACTTAATTGTTACCTCCTCAGAGTGGACCTCCCTCACCATGCCAGTGTGAATTTACTCCCTCTCATTATCGTCTATCTTGCTTCATTTACTTCCTGGTACTTGTCACACTCCACAATAATTATACACCATGATGTTTGTTGTCTGCCTCCCCCCCCACCCCAACTTAATAAAGCCAAGGACCCAGCCCATTGAATCCCTAGCACCTAGCTTGATGTCTGGTGCATAGTAGGTGCTCAGTAAACATTGGCTGAATAAAAGAACCAAACTAAAGGAAGTAATTAAGCAGCAGCAGCTGTGAATTTCCAGAGGAAGGAGTTAGCAGTGCCTGGTTTTAGAGGGCAGCTGGATGCACACCGCTGTGCTTCTCAGCCGCTTCTGCAGGATGCTGAGTGCCCTGTCAGGGGCCAGTGGTCCACTGGCAGTTCACCTACAAAGTCTGATTTGGAGCCCAGCCGCTGCCTCTGGTCCTTGTGGAGAAGGCCTTGCAGGAGGTCGCAGGCGGCCACCGTCTGGCCCCCTGGGATCTGTAGCGGCTGGTACAGAATATTCTCATACATCTGGGACACGTCTTGGCTGTAGAAGGGTGGCTGGTGAGAGAGAGAGAGAAGCTGGAGGCTCATCCACGCCAAAGCGGGAGGAAGGTCTCAGGGAGTGTTGGGGCAAAGCCAGGTAATGGAAAGATTTAGCCAGACTGCGTGTTGTGCAATGGCTCACATGGCAGATCGGAGAGAGACAGAGACCTCTGGGCTTCTGGCTGCTGGGAAGGCTGAGAAGGGACCTCCCGGGAGCCTGCCCCATCCCACCTCTCTTACCCCCGCTTGTGCACCAACTCTGCACTTTGCAAAGTTAACACTTCCCCCCTTGTCATTCCGGCCCACCCCTCACAGCCATCTCTGAAGGCAAGCAGTAATTTGTTGATGAGAACACAAGGCTCAGAGAGATCAAGCCACATGGCCAGGAAAAGAGCCAGCCCCAAAATGTGCCCAGAGCCCACTCTTTCCTGGTGCTCTCCACCCCCACCTCCTCCACTGGCTCTTCTTTGTCCTGACTCCACAGAGCCTGCTCTTTCACATCCCCTGAGCTCTGTTGACAAAGCCGCCCCGAGCAATGCCTGCGCTGGGGTGAGTCTACCCAAGCCTCCAACTAAGCAGGCAGCTTAGGATGGGGCCCAGGGCTGGCTCCACAAACGACCATCCTTGGGATCTTTCTGGGCCTGTTTCCCTCTCTGTACATAAGAACAGCTCCATTTCCTATAGTGGCAGCCTCCAAAGGCTGTTTCAAGGTGCCAAAGTGTGTGTGTTGTAAAGCGCTGAACTAACATTACTGAAAAATGTACATAATCCTCACATCATCTTTTTTAGCTTGGAGTAGAGAGCGAGCGCTCTTTTGGTTCCTTGAGGAGCCTGAATGGCCACACAAGGCAGAGATCCACCCCCAAGGGACCAAGCCACAGGTCCCTTGCAGATGTTTACACCCTACTCACCAGGCCTTGCAGCATCTCGTAGAGAACGGCCCCCAAGCACCACCAGTCCACCGCCCGGTCATAAGGCTCTTTACGGAGCACTTCTGGAGCCAAGTACTATTGAGAAGAAACATACGTTATCTAAAGACACTCGGACTCAGTCTCCCCATTTGTTTTATTTTTATTTAAAAAAAATTTTTATTTTTTATATGTTTATTTCTTTTTGAGAGAGAGAGAGAGAGAGAGAGAGAGAGAGAGAGAGAGAGAGAGAGAGAGAGAGAGAGAGAGAGAGAGAGAGAGAGAGAGAGAGAAATGCAGCACAAGCAGGGGAAGGGCAGAGAGAGGGGGAGACAGAATCCAAAGCAGGCTCCAGGCTCTCAGCGGTCAGCACAGAGCCTGATGTGGGCCTCGAACTCACGAGCCATGAGATCACTACCTGAGCTGAAGTAGGATGCTTAACCCCCTGAGCCACTCAGGGGCCCCTCAGTCTCCCCATTTGTAAACAAGGCACTGGGAAGAAAAGATCACCAAGGGTTGCTCCTGCTGTGATATTCACCTGGCTGTGTGCATATGTTCATTCAGCATCCATTTGTCAAAGGCTTACTCTGTGTATGACCCTTTGCCAACGTGCTGGGGACATAGGGAAGATCAGGCAGGACTGCCTTGTACAGTTGTATATGTTGTGCACCATACAAAAGTACTAGCCAAAAGGAGACAGGGGGATGCAAGCCTGGCTGTGATCAACTCACCAAGCCATAACCCTAGTATAGGGCTATATCTGGCAACTTTATTAATATTTAATGGGGTAACTTTTTCTAGTGAATCTGCCCAAGGGGGTGCCTTTATCTAATTTGCACAAAGCATCCAATCGGTGTCCTGGGAATAGGAAAGCCCTGTGAGTACTCACAGTGCATTGGGGAGACTAATGGTAAAGTGTTAGTAAACATGGCACGTGCTTGTACTGGAAACCGTAGTAACAGAGAGATGGATAGGAATCGGGAAAGAAAAGGTGACACTTGAGTTCATATTGACAGATGAATGTATGTCACAGAGCTGTGCCTTCCAATGAGAAGAGGACCTGAGGCATGACAGTGTTTTCTGCCAAACCCAAGGGCTTGGCGACCTCTTAGCCTGACATCTCTGCCGTGAGGAAAGGGACAGCAACAGACAAAGCCATTTTGAGAGACTGTGTGGGTCTGGGAAGGGCAGGAAGTTACACAGACCTGAGCCCTATATAGGGCTCATTTAACCTACTAGAACCTTGATTTCCTCCTCCATAAAATGGGGTTCCAGGATCTCTCTTTTAAGGTTATGTGCTAATCTGTGTGGAATATGGTACATGTGTAGGCCTTAAACAGTGGTCACAACTATCGTTACTCTTGTCTATGCTTTCTGGCATCACAGCAGGGGCTGAGTTATGGAAGAGATGACATGTTGGGGCCACATGTCTCCTGCACAAGCCAGGGTGTCATATGCCCTGCTCCTCGCAGCTGACAATGTCCAAGGAAGGGATGGCTGGGCTGTCAGGCTTTGGGACACCAGCTCTGTCCAGAAGACATCCTGCCATATACAAACACAGACAATGGCTCCTGCTCGGAGTAGTTACCTGTCCATCAGCTGTCCCAAAACTAAATGGAGGAAGCCCAGCTGAGATCTGAGATCCAGATTTTCAAGCATATGGAGAACAATAGAGCCGCTGAAGTCTTGTCGCATGTCCCGTCAGGAGGAGCTTCTGCCCTGCGGCCTCTGCCTTCTAGCCCCCACCCAGATATCTGTCAACTGGGAAGTCCTTTGCATCCCAGGTCCAAGGGTGGGAGTTCAAGGAAAGATTTTAACCCCAAGGCTACAGGGAGGTCTTGGCAGGACAGATACACATGTAGGAGCTACTGCTGAGACCCACAAATTTGAGCCCTCCAGGTTCTTGGTGGCTGGCAGAGGGAGACAGACCAGTGTTTTACACTCCCAAGTCCTGATCTTAACTGTCAGGCCAAGCCCTCCTACTCCACACGGCCCTCACCCTGTGGGGCAGTGCTGTCCCATACGGCAGCCACTTATTACATGTGGCTCCCGAACACTTGAAATGAGGCTGATTTTAGCTGAGGTGGACTGAAAGTGTAAAATATGCTCTGGATTTCAAAGACTTAGTTAGAAAAAAGGAATAAATTATCTCAACAATTTTATATTGATTGTATGTTAAAATGACAATATTTTGTATATATTGGTTTAATGAAAACGTACTACTAAAATGCATTCCACCTGTTTCGTTTTACTTTTTATTTTTTTTAAATGTTTATTTTTTTTTTAGAGAGAGAGAGGGTGTGAGAGCACACACAAGTGGGGAAGGGGCAAAGAGAGAGGGAGGGAGAGAATCCCAAGGAGGCTCCATGCTGTCAGCACAGAGCCCGATGCAGAGCTCAATACCATGAACTGTGAGATCATGACCTGAGCCGCGATCAAGAGTTGGACACTTAACTGACTGAGCCACCCACGTGACCTTCTTTTTACTTTTTTAATGTGGCTACTGGAAAACTTTACATTGACTATATGGTTTGCATGGCTATTTCTATTTCTATAGGTCTGCATTGCTACAGAGCTTCACCACCTGCTGGCCGGGGCCCAGCAGCCCCCTGAGCTAGTGCTGCCGTTACACAGATGAGGAAACCAAGGCAGAGTGCACAGCCAGATCAGGGCAAGGGCTTGGGTGAAAGGCGTGAGCATTCTTCCGCCCCTGCCCAGTGTAACCTGTTGGTTCTAAGCAGGAGTTGAGGCTCAACCACTTATGACTTGACCTCTGACCTCCCCTACAAGGTTTGGCTTACCTCGGGGGTGCCACAGAACGTGGATGTGGTCTCCTCGGGCTCTACACCCTCCTTGCAGAGGCCAAAATCCGTCAGTACCACATGTCCCTGCAGGGGAAGGGGGGCAGGGGCAGGAGAGTGGTCTAAGCTCAAGGTATGGTCAGGCCTAACCCCAAAGCCCAGGTAGTATACCCCAGGCCAGCAGCTACGGAGACTTATGCCTCTGGCACTGGCTATATGTTCCACTGGATGCCAGGAGCAATACAAGGGGCAAGGTGGGGAGATAGCATTCCACTGTCTGCTCCCAGTTTATCACAGACTCAGCCGTGCTCTACAACAATGGCAGCCCCATGAATGTCCTTGCTGGAGGGGTCTGGTGGTGGCAGCTGCCCTGACAGAGGGCTGGAGACTCAGAAAGCAACTGGGCAGCTGGGCAGGAGAGTGGCTAGTGGATGGTGTGGAGACAGTGGGTAGCGTGGGACTCTGCTCAGATCCCGTCTTTAGGGACTGTCATGCCCATCCCCTCCCCCCGCCCCCCGACTGGTGGGACACTGCCTTCTCTCAAAGTTATGCCCCTCCCAAGGGGCAATCCACACCCAATGACAGGTCAATGCAGGGATACAAAAGCCCAGCCTCCTCGCCTCAATTTGGAACAGTTCCAAAGAGTTGTCCCAGCTGGGGCCCTCGCCACCCCTGTAATATCACCTGAGGCCTCCTCATCTGCAACCACAATGCAGGTGGGCTTCCACCTCTATCCAATCTTGCCTCCTCACCCCCTTAAAACCAAATCTCTTAGAGCATTCCCCAGTAACCATCTGCATTCAACACTCCATCTGTTTCCAGGGAACCCAGTCTAGGACATGGAGAGACTACAAAATCCAAGAGCCTCCACTTGGCTCCACCCTTGCTCGTACAGACCTCATATACACACACATGCACATGCGATGTGCACTTACATGCGTATGCACGCACATGGATACACATGCACACATACTTGAATGCATCCCTACCCATATGCACGCACGTACAATGCATGCATGCACACTTGTAAGCACATAGCACACATGTGCACCTATGCACACACACATACACCAACCTGGCAGTCCAAGAGAATGTTCTCTGGTTTCAGGTCCCTACAGAAAACAAGAGGAAAGAGCACTGTAATGTCTCAACCACTTAGTGAGGAGAGTTGGGACTCTAGAGTCCTGGTGGGAGGACTATTCACGGAGGCTCTCAAACATGTAGAGGGGGAGACCAAGGAGAATGGGCACTTGATCCTAGAAAGGAGGATCCCTACTCCCACTGCTGAACCACCCTCCTCAGACAGAGGACCAAGTTCACTGGCGTTTCATCGGGACCTAGGGGTCCACACAACCCCTGTCATTTGCAGCAGACAGCCCAGGCCTGGCTCTGAGCCACAGGCAGGCCTCACCTGTAAATGATGTTGAGGGAGTGCAGGTAGCCAATGGCGCTGGCCACCTCAGCGGCGTAGAACCGGGCCCGGGGCTCCAGGAACCGGCGCTCCCGCTGCAGGTGGAAGAAGAGCTGGAGGGGGAGGAGGTGCATGAGAAGTCCTCTAGGTGGGGGGCTCCAGCTCCTAGAGTGCAGGGTGGGGGGCAGCTGGCCAAGTCACCCCCTCTGTGAGCTGCAATGTACTCATATGAAAAAGAGCATGCTGGCCCCCACCCCATACCGTAGTTGTGTGTGTCCAAAGGGTCAGCAGGAGAGACTAATTCACATGGATTGACAGGTACTGGGTTCCAGGCTCCAAGCCAGACCCCTTCACAACTCTTATCTCATTTAATCCTCATGACTACCTTCCAGGTATCAAATATGATGCCAGTTTCACCAAAGAGGAAAGTGGGAGGGGCCAGGTGACTTGTCCAAGGTCATGTAGCTCATAACTGACAGAGCTGCCATTTGAACCTGGGTCATTCAAAGATGTGTTTTTCCTCCCACCTGGGCAGTAAGATTATTATAGCTGTCAAACTGAGCCCAGCCTATATCTGTCCATGGGCCAATTGCTTTGGTCTGTTTTGCTGGCCTAGAAAGGCCTTAGCTGCACCAGGGGACTTAGGGATGCAAAGCAAAAACTCTCCTCTTTGGTATCAGGCCAAAAGTCATGAGGTCACACAGACAACATCTGGGGCCACTTGCTCAGAGAGACAGAGTGAAGTCCAGGATGGAGCCCAGTTTATCCCAGCTGTGCTTCTGGGTGACCGGGTGACCTCAGGTCTCAATTTACCACAGGGACCACCCCCACCCAGTGGCCTGTGGTATAAAATGGGGACACTGGAAATCTTGACCACAGAGTTCCACTAACACTGACTTTGCCCAGGTGCCCTGAAGAGTGTCTAGGCAGCTTTGCGTGGGGCAGTCAAGAAATGCTCATGGCTGGGAGCCAGACAGACTTGCATTCAAATCCTGGCTCTGCTAGGTACAGCAGGCTGGGTGGCCTTGAGCAAGTGAGTTACCTCCCAAGCCTCGGTTTCTTCAGCTACAAAATGGGTCTGTTGTAAGGATGAGGTGAGATCATTCCAGAACCTGATACACAATGGGCATGTCAGAGCCAGCCCAGGGGAGGCTCCCTGTGGGCCCACCCACCTCTCCCCCGTTGACATAGTCGAGCACAAAGTAGAGCTTCTCGGGCGTCTGGAAGGAGTAGCGTAGGCCCACAAGGAAGGGGTGCTGCACGCTCTTCAGAAGCACGCTGCGCTCCGCCATGATGTGGTTCTGCTGTGGGGTCATAGACAGGGGCCCATGTCACAACCCAGCACAACCCCTACCCTGGCACCGCCCACACGGCCTCACTGGTGGGGGTTGCTGGGCCCAGGGCCTTCTCATGCCCCTGCTCAAATAACGGCTGTGGTTCCTTATTCCCCTCAGAGCCAGGCTCCTTGCTTACTAGCCAGGATTCTAAACGGATCAGCCTCATTCCCAGCCACAGCACGTAGGTACAGCTCCAGCCCCAGGGGTCAGAAACCCCTGCTGCCCTCCTTTGGGTGATAAGGAAAGTGTGTATGATTACTACATTCATGCTTTTGTTCATGCTGTTTTCCCTGCCTGGACGTCCTCTTTTCAGACCATCAGAATCCTACGTTCAAGGCCAGCTGCCAGGCCACCTCCTTCGCAAAGACCTCCCCCATCTGCCCTCTTGATGTCCTTGTTATCATTAATTCCCTCGCCCAAGTCCTCTGATTGATATTCAAGCCTCTCTCAGGGCCTGTTCTATCCCCCTCATGGGGTTGGCATTAAAGAGACTCAAGTCAGCTGAAGCATCTAGAACTCCGGGATGGCTGTGGCTTTGAGGGGCCTTTGGAGGGTATCAAGTGTGCCCCCGACACTGCACAGATAGGGAGACTGGCACCTAGACAGGGCGGAGGACTGCCACAGAGCCCCGAATTCCCCAGGCAAAGGCAGAGGGCTGGGACCTTCCTTCTGAAGGTCCTATGGGTGAGTCGATTGGCTTGCCCTCCTTGAGAAAGGTCAGTGCCCTCAGCACCACCTGGCTGCCCCCTGCAATGACCACCGCTGCACCCAGCTCCATGGGTCCTTCAGAGTTGGCACCCAAGAGCTTGGGAAACCACCTTAGCCTGGGAACAAGAAGCAGGAGGGGAAATGCCCGTGTGCAAGCTTGGATACCTCTTTCTTCTGTAAGATGGACTTTTTCTGCAGCACCTTCACTGCGTAGAACATCCCGTCAGACTTGCGCTTGGCCAGTAGCACCTGAGCAGAAGCACAAATGCAAGGCCCCACAGGGGACCTACTCCTCTGAACTTCTTATTTCTCAGGAGCCCCCAGTTCTGGGCCCACGTCCATGATTCTGCAGGCTGTGAGCTCCCTCTTTGCACATGCAAGTGACAGGCAGAGGGTGGAGGAGGCCGGGGAAGGGAAGACCCAGGCCTCCCAGCCTCACTGTGTCACTCACCTTGCCGTAGCTCCCTTTGCCAATGACTTTCAGGAAGTCAAAGTCGGTGGGCCGGGCACTGGGGGAGGGGAAAAGAACACGGGTCAGTGTTTGTGAATTTGGGAAACCTGGCTCCTGAGATCGTATCCAGGCTTCTTTTTAACTTTGAAGCTGGGGAACAGAGGGCGCTTTTCAAGAGCCAAGCCTCCTCACCACTGAAGCATGCCATGATCTCCCAGCCAAGAGGGCTTCGAGGACAGGCCCCTGCCCCTGGGGATCCAGTGAAGCAACCAACAGGCAAGTTGGGGAGAAAACCAGACACAACTGTATAGAAGACAAGGGATCTGGCCCCCAAAGCCCGAGAAGGACCTGAAGGGTGGGGAGCTGCTAACAATGCAGACTTTGGGGTGCATTTCAGGCACAGGGCTCATCATGAGCAAAGGCTAGGGAAGTAGTGGGAGATAAAGCAGGGGGACAGTCCTGGGTCCCAGATGGCAGAGGGTCTTGGCAATAGACCAGAGAACTTGGATTTTATTCTCAAGGAGAAGGGAGCCAGGAACGAGGAGAGCCAAGGAGGAAGAAAGTTGCTTGAGAGACCAGAACTTACTTTGGGTTGGCTGAAGGCCCCAGGTTGACGTTCCCATTGGCCCTTGAGGGCTAAAGATATTTACAGAAAAGTTATTAAGATCATCAGGGACTGTGTTAGGATCCTCTGCACCTCCCGTTTCTCTGGCCTAGGCTCTGCTCCCTTCTCTACAGGCCTGCTTCCTTCCTTCTTTCCACTCGTCTACCAACCCATCCACCATCTCACCTGCTCCTCCTAACAGCCTTGGGAGGCTGCTGACTATTGTGCCAATTATGAGGGTGAGGAAACTGAGACCCTGAGAAAAGCCATCCAAGGACTTACAGGCAGCTCCACTGGCATTAGAATCCAGGGGTCCTCAGGGCCAATTGTGTATCCCATCTTCTTCTTGAATCTCTTGCCCAACTCTATCCCCTACTTGCCCTGCAAATTAGCCCATTTCCATGAGCTCACAGTGACCCCTGTCGGCCCCCCAGTCCTGCTCTGTGTTGGCCCACCAGGCTGGCCTGTGCGTCCTTAGGCTTCCTCCAGTGTGGGAAGAAGTGAGCCCCCTGGTGGTGGATGGGGGAACCAAGACTCACTCACCTGAGGACTGGGGCTGCCCGCCGGGCTAGAGTCCATTCTGTAACCGTGATCAGGTGGGTTCTGGGGGCACAAGGGGGACCAGGCATGAGAGAGCTGTTGTTGGGGAAGGAGCATGACCTGTCTAGAGTTTCAGGCGCCGCTGCGCTGTCCACCCCTCCCTGGCCCTGTGCACCTGCCATAGTCTGAGCATCTCCTACCTGAGGCCAGTGCCCCCTGCATGGGAAAAGAACTGAGGTGCCCTGGACCCAGCATCTCTAATCAAACGTCTCAAGAGAGAGCCAGGGAGAATGGCCCAGGGTATCCCTCCCAAGCTGAATCTTTTCAAGGGCTGGGGACAGCCAGGACAGTAAGATCCCTGTGAGCCAGGGCAGATCCAGAAGTCTAGGATGGCCAGGGCTGGAAGGACCCTTGCAGAGCATAAAGTCCCAACCCTTGCCCCCCTTTCACAGGTGGGGAACCTGAGGTCTAGAAAGGGGTTCGCCTGGGGCTACACAGTCTGTGAGCGGCAGGCTGGGCTCCCCAGGCTCCCAGACAGGCATGTTGTGACCCCAAATTCCTGTGGACACCCTGGGCTGGGATCTGTGTCATATTGACTATTATCTCCCTGCCACAAGGACTTCTACCTAATGCCCCTGGAATGCCAGCTGCCCTGGGGGCCTTGGGCCCGAGCCATGAAGAGACCCAAGCCTGGCTAGTGTCTGTTTGAAATCAAATAGTGAAGAGTGTGACCACCTGGTCTAGGCGGCTAGGAGCACAGTGTTTTCCTGCCCCCTGGCCTGCAGGGTGAAGGAGGCTGGTGTGCCCAGGCCCTGGCTCAGGATGCCCAGTGCCCCACAGACTCACCCCTGTTTGGAAGGCCAAGGCCAAGAACCCAGATGCTCATGGAGGCTGCCCGCTACTGTATATCCCAAGACCCCAGCCTTGACCCACTGTGGGGCCTGGGCTGCAGCTTAGCCTCTCTGGGTAGAAACCACCCATCTTTACAAGGCAGGATCCTACAGCAACCACCCCATGGCCTTCTTGGGAGCTGATGAGGTGACCACAGGGGAAAGGAGGGAATCGCCCAGCCCAGGCTGCTCCAAGAGGCCCAACCTTGTGGGGCCCTGAGAGAACAAGCCGGAGAACTGCCTGAGAAATGTAGCCTGGCTTCAGCCAGTGCCCCAGGGTTCGGGCTCCCCCAGGGGGCCCACCACACCGCCACACCCTGTCCTGGGCTGACCCTGTAGGCCCCTTTGCCAGGCCCTGGCCTCTCCAGCCCCACGTACCTGCACAGCCTGAGGAGAGGCCCTGGAGGGAACCAGCAGTTGGAGCCGGAGGACAGGCAGTGGACAAGAGAGCCTCTCTCTGTTCTCCCAACAAGGGCCGAAGTGTCTGTGCCTGGCGCCGGCCCTGCCCCAGCGCCCAGCTCAGAACTCCCAGCAGCAGCAGAGGGCTGTTGATGTCACATGGGATCCAGCAGTGCTTAAGATGAGACCAGAGACCTCTGTTCCCTCAGGGACATCGCCTCCCCCTGGAGGGTGGGTGGAAGGGGGTGGGCAACAGCTGTAGGAATGACCTGCTGATGCTTGGGGCTTTTTAGAATGCGTTTGTGTGGGGGTCAGGCTGTGTGTGTGGTGTGTGTGAGTGTGTGTACAGGTGTTTCGTGCATCGATGTGCTTCAGTGTGTCTGGTGTATCTGCGTGTCCCTGCACGTGAAGGCTTTTGTGTTAGTGTGTCTGAGTCTATGTGTAGAACTGCATGTGTTCTGCTTATTAGTGTGCATCAATGTGACCGTGTATTTAATCTTGTCAGTGTGTCTGTGCATCTGTAACTGTGTTCTCTGTGTGTGTATCGATGGGCTTCTGTGTAGTGAGTCAACATGTCGGTGTCAGTGTGTATCTTTATATATGTTGATGTGTTGTATGTATGTGTGTGAGTGTGAGTCTGTGTGTGTGTCTGCAGATGAGTATAGGTGTCAATGCATGTGTATGACTGCATGTGTAACCACATGTGTATTTATAGGTTATTGTGTGTCTGTTCATATTGGTGTATATTAGTGAGTGTGTGTGTGTGTGTGTGTGTGTGTGTGTGTGTGTGTGTGTGTTTGTGTAGGGGACTTGTCTGTAAGAAGACATGCTTCCTGGGGCCTACCCAGGCCTGGTGTAGACAGGCCATCATAAGGTTCCAGAGACCTCAATCATGGCAGCTGAGAGCTCTTTGCCTCCTGAGAATCTACAGATGTTTCAGAGCATAGGTATCTGGCTCAATGCAGCTGGCCTTGGTCTTTGACTGCCGAACACTTGGCCATTTGGGCCCTTCCTTGCTGGCTGCTTCAGGACTCTGGCCTACTGTCTCCAGGGCAGGACAGGTCAGCCCAGAGCTCTCCAGCTTTGTGAGCGATAGGAAGCAGGGTCCCAGTCAGCACCCTGGCTCATGAAGGCCTGGCTGCATGGTGCAGTCATTAGGTACTCGTGGGGTCCCTTCCTCTCCCCAGGAGATCCTGAGGGTTGTTCTGAGGAATGAAAGAGTTGACAGGGCCTGACCCAGACCCTGCCTTTCTGGAACTTTCTGTGTGGCAACCATATGCTACACTTAAGCCTCTGCAATTCACCACAGTGGAGGGATCCATAGGCTGGGGCTAAGAAGGTTGGACAGAAAGGGACCTGAGCCCAATGGCCTCGGCGGTTCTCTCTGGGCTCCGAAGAGCAGGGGACCTGAGGGTGGCAGCAAAGAAAGCCAGAGCGAACAATATCAGAGTCTTCCATCTTTCAACCACACAGAAATGTTGAACCAATACACAGATGGGCAGGATGTCATGTTGACAAAACACATACCCAGAACAAGGACACGTCTTCTCAGTGACAAGACACTGATGAGGCCTTTATTCAGCAGCACTGCTTTAGAACAGGAGAAGAATAGTGACCATAATCATAACTGAAATGCCCGGCTCAGAGCACGTCAGAAGACCCGCTGGCTGTAAAACTCCCTCTCTTGACCTTACGTCCCTCTCCAGACACAGTTCTGCTTCTCTGTTCTCCTTTCCAGTTAAATTCCTCGAAAGAGTTGTCTGGACTCAGTTTACACTCCTTCTTTTCTCTCTTGAACCCATTCCAAAGAGGCTTTAATCCCAGCACTCCACAAAAGCAGCGGGCCCATGACCCCCGCATTCCAGAGCCAGTGGTGGCACACCGGTCTTCCCACTTGGCTTTGGGATCGCCTGGTTTTCCTTCCACCTCACCTCTTTCTCCATCTCTTCTGCTGGATTTGTCTCCTCTTTTGCCACTGGCCTATCCCCATAGTCCCCAGATCTCTATCTATACTTGTTTCTGAGTCAATCACAACCAGTTTCATGGCTTTAAGTACCAGCTATACACTCCACAATTCCCAAACTTGTCTCCCTAGTTCCGACTCTCTCCTGCACTAAATCTGGGTTTATATCTCTAACTGCTCCCTCAGCAGCTCACTAGTTGGGTCCCTGGAGGCACCTCACTCGTAACACATCCAAAATGTGAGTCCTGGCTCACATCCCTTCCACTCGGCCCCACCCTGCCCCTCTGTCAGTCTTCCATCTACCACCTGCTCAAAAGTTCAAGCTGGCAACTTGGAGTTCAATCTAGAAATATGGCACCCTCACCCACCTCCAGTCCACCATGAATCCCCATGAGACTCTACCTTCAAATTAAATCCAGAAAGCACTGCTACTCACCAGTTCTGCTGCAACCTCCCTGTCTGAGCCACGGTCACCACTTGGCGTGGACTATTGCAATAGCTTCCCTACTGTCTCCTGACGTTTATCTTTACCCTCTACAATCTTTCTCCACCCAACTCCAGAGAGCCACTTAAAAAAAAAAAAAAAATCTAAGTGGATCACATGAGCTGGCTGCTCGAAAACTCTGGTTGCTTCTGGTCACACCTAGGATTAAAATCCAAAGTCTACCATGGTCTGCAAGATTCCGTGAGACCTAGCTCCTATCACCCTCTCCACCTTGGTTCCCATGCTCTCCCTGTCACTACACTCCAGCCTCTCTGGCTTTCTTGCTGTCACTCAAACACACAGAGTGCCCTCTGGCCTCCTGCCCCTGGCATTTACTTTCCACTCCATCTAGAATGCTTTTCCCCCAGACTTCTGCATGGCTAGACTTCCACTAATATCCCAGAGGCCTCTGCTCAAATGTCACCTCTCAGAGAGGCCTTTTCTGAGATTATGAGTGACTGAATACCCTGGTTTGTCTGGGACTAAGGGTTTCCTGGGATATGAGACTCTCAATGCTAAAGTTAGTACAGCTCTGGGGCAAACCAGGATGGCTGGTCACTGTACAACCCTACTCCCACCCACTCTTGATCCACTTTTTCTGCTTTGTCTTTTATTTTATAACACGTACCATGCTGACACCTTATCATCAACTCTTTGTTTTCCGTCTTAAACTAGAACATTGGCTCTATGAGGGCAAAGACCTTTCTTGTTCACTGTTGAATCCCCAGCACCTAGATAAGGACCAGCAATATGATCGGTGCTCAGTACGTATTTGACTAATGAATCAGGAACAAGCTGATAAGATCGATTATAGTACATGTATAAGGTGGAAAATTACCTAATTGAAAAATAATAGCTAAGGCTTTGTAAATCAAAACGGGAATATGTGTGTCATACAATGTCAAGCAAAAAAGGACTTTTCAAAATGATAGGTATATCACGGGTACCATCTTTATAAGAATGTGGGGCGCCTGGGTGGCTCAGCGGGTTGAGTGTCTGATTTTGGCTCAGGTCATGATCTCGTGGTTCATGGGTTTGAGCCTTGTGTTGGGCTTTGTGCTGACAGCTCAGAGCCTGGAGCCTACTTTGGATTCTGTGTCTCCCTCTCTCTCTTTCCCTCCCCTGCTTGTGTTCTGTCTGTCTGTCTGTCTCTCTCTCTCTCAAGAATAAATGAACATTAAAAAAATTAAAAAAAAAAAAAAGAAAAGAAAGACATGTATGCACAGATACATTTGTGCGTAGCCACCAAAAAAGGCTAGAGGGTTGTGACCCAAGGGGACAGTGGGTTAGGGTAATTTTTGTATTTGTACCTTTGTGTAAAATGTCTCAAGGTGTTGCTGTTCACTTAATATTCCGGCACTAAGGCCTGGGGAGAACTCTGACATGTGCACTTCCCACCACACTCCCATTGCCTTGACTGGTACTCACACCTGTGCAGCTCTCAGCCTATGGCTGCTATCACTCCTGCAGCATAGTCTTCTGATTG